TTCATTTCTCAACTTATAAACTCCTTGCATCTCAAAACAACTCATAATCACATATTTATAAGTGTTTGTCATTTGAAATTACATAAAAATCGCCAAGTTCTAAGTTTTTGGGTCCAATTCGTCAAAAAAAACCATTTTGACCCGAAATGGCTACTTACTTGCCTATTTTCTTCATTTCTCAACTTATAAACTCCTTGCATCTCAAAACAACTCATAATTACATATTTATAAGTGTTTGTCATTTGAAATTACATAAAAATCGCCAAGTTCTAAGTTTTTGGATCAAATTCATCAAAAAAAGCCATTTTGACCCGAAATGGCTACTCACTTGCCTATTTTCTTCATTTCTCAACTTATAAACTCCTTGCATCTCAAAAAAAACTCATAATCAAATATTTACAAGTGTTTGTCATTTGAAATTACATAAAAATCGCCAAGTTCTAAGTTTTTGGGTCAAATTCGTCAAAAAAAGCCATTTTGACCCGAAATGGCTACTTACTTGGCTATTTTCTTCATTTCTCAACTTATAAACTCCTTGCATCTCAAAAAAACTCATAATCACATATTTATAAGTGTTTTTCATTTGAAATTACATAAAAATCGCCAAGTTCTAAGTTTTTGGGTCCAATTCGTCAAAAATAGCCATTTTGACCCAAAATGGCTACTCACTTGGCTATTTTCTTCATTTCTCAACTTATAAACTCCTTGCATATCAAAAAACCTCATAATCACATATTTATAAGTGTTTGTCATTTGAAATTACATAAAAATCGTCAAGTTCTAAGTTTTTGGGTCAAATTCATCAAAAAAAGCCATTTTGAGCCGAAATGGCTACTCACTTGGCTATTTTCTTCATTTCTCAACTTATAAACTCCTTGCATCTCAAAACAACTCATAATCACATATTTATAAGTTTTTGTCATTTGAAATTACATAAAAATCGACAAGTTTTAAGTTTTTGGGTCAAATTCATCAAAAAAAGCCAATTCGAGCCGAAATGGCTACTCACTTGTCTATTTTCTTCATTTCTCAACTTATAAACTCCTTGCATCTCAAAACAACTCATAATCACATATTTATAAGTGTTTGTCATTTGAAATTACATAAAAATCGCCAAGTTCTAAGTTTTTGGGTCCAATTCAACAAAAAAAAGCCATTTTGACCCGAAATGGCTACTCACTTGGCTATTATAAGTGATTGTGAGTTGAAACTTATTATTTCTCAAACTATTTCAGATTTCCAATGGAAGCATAACTTCAAAGAGAAAGAGGGTGGAGAAGCCTAAAAGAATTGATCAACCTAAGAAGAAGCTTAGTGAACAACAGTCCAAGAGTGAACAAGCGTCGAAGTTGCACTCTTCGAAAGGTTCACCCATGCCACCTACTCCAATTGTTGAAGACATTGTTCTTCAATCGCTCTCTACTGACATGACCTTTCTTCACAACCGTTCTTGTCATTTGGTCGATCCCATGGAAGTTGCACTTCCTAAGGCAATGTTCCACTATGATGAGGATGCAATTGCATGGATCAGCAAAGAAGATGTGAAGGAATTTCTACGTGGTGCAAAGCTTAAATTTTCCCTCATTCAAACATTCATGAGGTACTTCAATGCCCACATAAAGTTCATACTTTTTTCAAGTTATTCAAATTGATGGTGATTATCCTACATCTGATAAATTAATCAATGTTCATGCAGAGCACTACAGGAGCACTTAACTGACACTGATTCTCCTTGTAAAGTTGGGTGGTTATGCCCCGAGCAGTTATCCACTACTAAAATCATAGGCAACCCCCATGACGTGTTGTACTATGTTGAACAGAGTATAAGGGAATCAACGCGTGCGGGAGACAAGTTCATATTCGCCCCATGTTATAGAGAGTATGACTAACCATGTCAAATTCAATCGATTTGGCCTCATTATATGTTGACTCCTAAATATTAATTACCTTGTCTATTGTGAACTTATGTAGGGAGCATTGGAGCCTCATGGTGATTTGTAATTCCACTAACACAATTTATCACCTTGATTCAGCTCGATCATCGGAGAAGTGGCTCGTGAAGTCTATATTGCAAAAGTAAATATATATAGCAACTTATAGTGATGATTATTGCTAATAATAACTAATTTAGTAATCATAAGACTAATCAAATTTGATTGTATTGTTTTTATAGTACAGTGTTATGAAGAAGCTACATTGTCGTGCTCCAAAGGGTCCAACATGGAAGACACCGTTGGTAATTTACATGATATTATTGTGATTATCTTGAAAATCTATGGTAGTAAATATTTGCTCATTTTCTTTGCATGTTTCACTGATGTGATTTGTTTGTCATATGCTAGTGCGCACAACAAGAGAATGGACTTGATTGTGCTTTGTATGTGATGAGATTCATGCTTGACATTGTGACTCATTGTACGGACACTCAACAACTTGATGAGGTAAGTCCTAAAACTTCTTGAAATGCTATATTGATGTGATTTCACGCATTAGACACTTAATATTACCCAACAATGGCATGTTATGAGAAACAAAAAAGCTATTTCACAAGAAAGGTAGAAAATGGGCTGAATAGAAGTCATATGGGCCATGTTAGGGCCATTTTGTGTTAATATGCTCTTTTGATGTGATTTCTTTCCTTATACACATATAACTAGATAATATTGACATGTTATGAGATAAATAAAGTTCATTTAATAAGAAATGTAGGAAATGGGCAAAGTAAGGTCATATAGGCCATATTCGGGTCATTTTGAGTAAAAAGCGTCGTAAACCTTAATAAAATGCTCTCCTATACAATTTTAGGGCTTACACACATACAACTACCCAACATTGATAGTTCATTTGATAAGTAATGTAGAAAATGGGCTACATAGAAGTCATATAAGCCCTATTTGGGCCATGTTGAGTAAAATGCGTTGTTAAACTTCTTGAAATGCTATATTGATGTGATTTCTAGCCTTAGACACCTAATATTATCCAACAATGACATGTTATGAGAAACAAAAAGGCTATTTCACAAGAAAGGTAGAAAATGGGTTTAATAGAAGTCATATGGGCCATATTAGGGCCATTTTGTGTTAATATGCTCTTTTGATGTGATTTCTTTCCTTATACACCTATAACTAGATAATATTGACATGTTATGAGATAAATAAAGTTCATTTAATAAGAAATGTAGGAAATGGGCAAAGTAAGGTCATATAGGCCATATTCGGGCCATTTTGGGTAAAAACCGTCATAAACCTTAATAAAATGCTCTCCTATACAATTTTAGGGCTTACACACATACAACTATCCAATATTGAAATGTTATGAGAAAGAAATAGTTCATTTGATAAGTAATGTAGTAAATGGGCTATATAGAAGTCGTATAGGTAATATTTGATAAAATACATATTTTTTGCCTAATTAATTATTTTTAAAATAATGTTTTTGTATTTCAAGTTTTGCAAGGTCCAAAAGGATGGTCCGTTGACAATCAAGGAGCTTAATGAAGTTCGTGACATGTTGGCGTCTTTCATCACCTTCAACATGTAAATGGCATGCATTGTAATTGTAAATTATTTATGTTATTAACTTTTGAACTATATATAACTTATTATTCATTATATATGTGTACTTACTATTATTTGTATATGTAAGCAACTTTTTTTTTTTTTTTTTTTTGTATTGCGTTTGGGAATATTTATATCTATATATATATAATTGAATTCTTGTATCTAATATTATTTTTGTATATAATAATTAATAATATTATTATTAGTTATTATAATAATAAAATTATTAATTATTATATTTAATATAATTGCTGGAATTACAGGGTATTATTATTGCAGGTTTTTTTTTAAAAAATATTATTGCACGATGGAAAAAAAAAAACGAAAAAAAAATAAAATTATACAAAAGGCACCGGTTAGGCAGGAACCGGTTAGGCAGGAACCGGTGCCTAAACTATCCACCACCCAAAAAAAAAATGGCGGGAGAGCAGTATTAGGCACCGGTTAACCGGTGCCTATTCCACCCTATGGCACCGGTTAACCGGTGCCTATTAAACCCTATGGCACCGGTTTTGAACCGGTGCCAAATAGGGGGTTTTTGGCACTCCTCAAATAGGCAGCAGTTCAAACCGGTGCCTTAGACCGGGTTTGAACCGCTGCCTAATGCGTTTTTTCTACTAGTGGAAGTCTATATGGTGTTCAATATATAAGTCGGTACTCTATTACTCATTCTGTCTCTAAATAAAAATTTACTTGCCTTTTCACATGGATGAGTCTTAAAATTTTAAGATCTAATATTAAACAGAGTAATAGCGTTTATGAGTTTTAATGATTACTTGAAATTAAAAGAAATATAAGCAATATCTCTAAAAAAATTTAGTATTTTTTTAAATCACCATTTTCAAATATATTAAGTATTTGGCAATAAGTGAGAGCAATTCACCAATATGACAAATATGATCTGAGGCATCATCCTCCACACATTGGGAATAATCAAGAATATAATAGAATAATTTAGGTGCTCTAATTATGCTCGAAAATCCTAATAGTACATCATTCTTCATTAATTGAGGATACATAACGTCTGTCTATTACACTAGAGTCTCAACAAGATCTACTTTTAAATTAATTGAAAACCTAATTAAAAAAAACTATGATCGTCCCATCACCCCTAATAACTAGTGATCAAGAGAAGAATTTATACGTATGACATTGAACAATTATGTCTCTCGTAGCTCCTATAGGAGCTAAAATAGTCAACATCACGCCAAATATGATGAAAGTCTGCAATATATAAAAAAAATCATAAATTCAATAGTGAATTTGAAATTGTTAAAAAAACAAAATAGGTTAAATAAAATGTAAAGTTAAATACTTACCCAATTGAGAAACCATGATAAACTGTATCTCTTTGGTTTGCATATTATTAGCCATATTATACAAGGAATCTGCAAATTAAATAAAATTTTATTAACACTAGACAGTTTTATTCTTCTATTATTAATATAAAATGAAAATGTGGAGTAAATATTTGGTACTCACATAAAATGAGGTTGGTGCAAAAGCAACTCCTCCTAAAACTCCTAAAAGGGAGCCAAAGAATGGAAATGCTATAGCAATAAACATGGTAATTCCTGCATATATAGATTAGACATATTATATATATTATAATAATTAAACGTAAACAAAATTATATAATTAATTCATTATTTTATAAAATCAACTTACCGACATATGTAGTACGAGTCACAACACGAAGCGCACTACTGGGTTTGCATTTCATTTTCAACACCAAAAATGATTCGAGCATGTCAAAAACTGGCATTGCGAAAACCTAATATAATATAGTGGAAAATTTATTACTTCTTATAATCCATATAAAACTTGCGATCCATATGAATAATTGCAAAAAATTATTAAAAAAAAAACTTACTTGATAGCTCCCAATAACATGTATCACAACAAACAAATTGGCAGCAGCAATAAGCCAACCAGGCTTCTCAAAAGAGATCATAACATTATCCTCAACATGGCTTCCAAACACTAGATAACCAAAAATAGCCACTGGAAAATCACATAATGCCACAACTATATAAGCGATAAAAGAACCTTTCCACATGTCTATTTTAGATGGTTTTTCCGTAGTGGAAGGCATTGTCGCTTGAATCTCTAGCACTATATTATGCCCAGAAAAGGCAAATGCAACAGTTCCCAATCCACTTAAAAAACCAAATATTTGACCCGCATCAGTGTTATATCTATTCCCATAACTTATGTCGGGTTGTACTCCTTTTATCAATGAAGCTATCCAAGCGATTGCTGAATAACTGAATTTACAAAAAAAAAAAAAAAAAAAAAAAACAAAACAAAAAAAATTAGTTACAAAGGTAGAATTTTAAATAGATTTCAAGAAATTTCAAATTACTATACAATTTATTCTAACTAATTTTTCAAAAAACTATTTAATAAAAGAAAATTATGTTCATGTATATATCATTCTATCATTAATTAGTCTAGTGCAAATGAAATATCTCCAACTCTTATATATTTTTGGAAGGTTTAATAGCAACACAAATCTAAAAAGTGTTGGGTTGATTTCAAACATGATTTCACAAAAAGTTAATTTTAATACGGATTTGGTGTATTTAAAGCCACAACTCCTCTAATTTCAAAACATAATTCAAAAATTAGTTAATTTGAAGACTTAAAAGGTAATTTGTATCATCCTTCCAAAAAAAAAAGTAATTTGTATCATACAAACTCACACCAACAATATATATTATAATTAATGATGAATTCGTAACGATATTAAAGGATGTAAAAACATACATCAAAGACATAATAGCCGCAGCGAAAGAGACACCAGCAATGGAGTTGAAGTCTGGTAAATTAGACAAGAAGAATTGAACGGACGCATACATCATGATAAAGTAAGGAAGCTTGACCGGTTGTCCACTCGGATAAACAATATTATAGAATTTCATAAGTGAACTCCCTCCCGTTAGCATAAAAACGATATCACATCCAACTTGAACCATAAGTTGTTGTGGAACAATAACCCATAGTCCGAGTTTCTCCCCAAATGCATATTGCCCCAATTCGTGATATCTATCAAACCTCTTTCCTGGCACAATCTCATGCATTTCAATCATTTCAATCATTTCAAACCATAAGGTAAACCGAGAATACCAGCACCAACCATCAATGACATTATGAATGGCAGCGAACCACCAATTCCCTTTACGATTCGCCGTAATTGGAAGCCAACCGCTAAGGTCCTCACTCTTAGTGTTTTCCATATTCTAGTTTTTAAATTCTCTCTACTAATATGATTTTTCGGATGTAGGTTTTTTATGAGTTGAATGATTTTTAGGTGATGGGAGACTAAGAGTGTTAATTTATAAGAATGAAGCTGAAACAGAAATACATGGGATATTTTAGTGATTTTAGGAATTTATTTAGTGAATCTTTTGACTTGGCTCACTCATCATACTATTTTGTGTACTGAAGAATAGGATGTTTGGTTATTACTCTTTTATTTTTTTCTAAAAAAAAAAAAATTATTTTATCTTTTTAGAAGGTTATTATTATTTTTTTTAATATTTATATTTTTATGAAGGGCAAGCATTTATAGGCGTTAGTTGTCCGATTTATCAAATTATTATATACTGAATGGTAACTTTTTGCCATTTTGGGTAGATTTCACTTATTTTTGATGACCCTTAAATCAAACACGTAGTATATGGTTTTAATTTTAATGCATATAGACAGTGCGTGTGTGTGCGTGGAATAAGATTTGAGGTTTCATTTAAACAAATTTATCCTAACTTCTTATTTACCTGCGTGGGATAACATACAACTCCTCCTTACCAAGTGTAGTCTTAATCATCACTACAGCAACATCCAATCAGTCCTTAAAACAGAAATATTAATAATGTGTGTAATAGTTTAAATAACTCTTTCAACCAAGTCTTAATAGATAAATTGAAATATTGTTGTAAATAGGCTTAATTGGAAAAAAAAAACTAGGATATCATTTTTGAAAAAAAAAAATGAAAAATAGAAAATTTAAAAGGCATGTATTTTGACATTTGCATCAATCTCGCATCACCCTATAAAATTGTGTGAATTAAATTTTGACCATTTGTGTTTGTCTCTATCATCTCTATTTTATATGAGAAGGGAGCCGGAAGTCCATCAAAATATACAAAGTACATTTCTATTCCTCGTCGTTATTTATATCATATATACTTTGTAATTTGTAAGTTACAACTCGAATTGATCATGTTGTTTATATCATATGATTATTGAAGTGCATCATATTAAAGTTGTTTTTTTAAAAAAACAAAGCATTATAGCAAATTAAATTAAATAATAGACTTTAGGCGCTATAAATTTATAACACAAACTTTTTATTTATTTTTGTAAGGTATTTTCAAAATATTTTTTTATAATTTTAATGGTAATTTTTTTTACAAAAGTATTTAAAGAATTTTTAAAATTCTAACAATATAGTTTAAAGTGTTTTGTACAAAGTGATGAACAAATCAGCATATAATAAATTGAAGAAAAAAAATAGTAAATTTTTTTTTATAGAAGAGCATTATTTTTTATAAAAAAAATTCCCATTTTTAAATGCTCAAATTAAATGTCAATTACAATCATTGTTGGAATTTTAATAAGCGTGTGGTACCAAATAATAGGATGTTTGATTATTACTATTTTAATTTCTCTAACAAAATAATTGATTAATTGTAAAGAAGGTTATTTTTTAAAACAAAAAAAAAAAAAAAAGTGGAGTACGTTTTTTTTTTTTTTTAATGTATATATTTTGAATTTTTGGTGGTGGACGTGCTTTTATTGGCATTAGTTGTTGATATAAAAACCAAACTACATATGTATTCTTATCTAGAACTATATATATATATATATATATATATATATATATATATATATATATATATATATATATATATATATATATATATATATGTATATTTGTATTTCCGTTTTATCAAATTATTGCATATTGAATTGCAACTTTTTGCCATTTTATTGTAAATTTTATTTATTTTTGAATAACTTTAAATCAAATATGATTTTAATGCATATAGATAATGGTAAAGCATAGATTACATTTGTTTATCTTTATACTATGGTCACTATCCTTTATATTAAAGTAATTTTTAATTCATTTAGGGTCGGGGTAACTTTTGTTCAATTGGAAACAAATTAATAACAAATGTACTATATTTTTTTTGTGTTTCAAACGGTTCAACCTTTGGGCTAACCGAATTCAGGGATCAGTTTTGGATAATTAGGTTTCAGTCTAATTTCAATTGTTGTTGCGAGGGATCAAACATGCGGCCCTCCCTACCAAGTGTAGTCTCAATCATCACTACACTGACAACCAACTGGTACTATATTTATTGTATACGTGATTATTTTACAAGTTTTAAAAATATTGGTCTTACTCAGCTACTTTAATTATGAACTAGCATAGTGCCCGTGCGATGTACAGAATATAATTTAATCAAATTATTAAACCCGTAGGAAAAATAAAAATAAAAACAAAGGTAATTCATTTACTATTAAAGGACTTGTACTAATGGTCAATAAAAAAAAATTAAAGGAACGTTATTTGAATAGTATTTTATGTTATTTGACTTTCTTTTAATTTTTTATAATGTTATTTTATTAATTGAAAAATAATTGAATAATACTCCACATAGCTATATAAGAAGTGGACTAATATATTTATATCTCCCGTTGAGAAAAAACTAAAATTTTCTTATCATACCATCCGCATCAGTAGCTACAATCAATCTAATATATACATGTTTTATTTACCCGTCACACTCATTAAATCTATAGACACAATAATAACCTTATATTTGACCTACCAGAACATATATTTTCCTAAGTTAAGCATTGTGCCAAAAACTATATATTACACGTTTGTGAAACTCTAATTATATCTACAGTTTTGTACATATCTTTAAAAAAATATTGGTCTTACTCAGCTACTTTAATTATGAATAGTGTTAAACTCGTATTCCCTCATTTTCTATGTGGTAGTGTGGTACCATTGTACTTTAGGCTTCTGCATTTGATACCCATTTTCCTTTTGGTTTCCACATGATACTTAGCTTCTATATTGTTAATTTTTTTCTAACATAATAAATTTGTTTTGTATTATTCCATTTGGGTGCCATGAAATTGCTCAATTAAAATTTTAAAGAGATGTTTAAGCCCTCAAGATTCAAATTTGAGCCAAAATTTATAAAAAAAAAATAAAATAAAATAAAATAAAATAAGGTCTCAGTTTACATGGAAGAATAATGTCTCAATATACATATTTCGATTTGTTTTGCGCTATAAGAAGTCTTATTAAAGTTTTAGGGCTCATTATGACTTTTTTATTTTTTACAAGCGCATTATGACCTGTTGTTTCAATAAATACTACAAGAAGGGGGGTTGAATTGTAGAGCCTGTTCTCATACGTTTATTTTCAGTTCAGCTCCTAATTTCCTTCTCTTATTAAATATTCATTTTAGTTCAGTTCAGTTCAACTCCTAATTTCCTTATCTTATTAAATATTCATTTTAGTTTAGTTTAGTTCAATTCAGTTCAACTCCTAATTTCCTTCTCTTATTAGTTATTCATTTTAGTTCAGTTCAGTTCAGCTCAGTTCAGTCTAGGAGAACAGGCCCGTAGTATGACCGTTTTTGTCAAACTTTTTGCGGAATTAAAATTAAGTAAACTAAAGGGACAGAAAGATAGCTAAAGGAATTAAGGGTCTTTTCTAATAGACTGAAATCAGCTGAACTGAACTGAAATGAATATTTTATAAGAGAAGGAAATTAGAAGCTGAACAAAATTGATCTGAACTGAAAATAAACGTATGAGAACAGGCTCTAAAAGTGCAAGAGAGATTTTTACGCGGAAAACTCCTTGGCTCTAAACAAGGAGAAAAACCACGACCACTTGGGATTTTAGAAAACGGATCTTCACTAGAATAGGGCAAATGGACCTATTACAAACTAAAGACTTTAACTTCAAGTTCCTCAATGAACTCCAAGCCCCAAGGAACAAGTCACCCAACTTGTCACTCTTCTTTTCTCTTTCTCTTCTCTATCTCTCTTCTCTTTCTCACTTCACTTTCTCACAAACAGAATTTCACTCAAACTTCTCCATTCCCTAAAATACAACTCGAAAGAAATAATTCTAGTATAAGAACATAAGAACACTATATTTCACTAATGTGGAATTGGACTCTTAACTCGATTAAAGAAAGCAAAAGCTAAAACTTATTTGAGCAAGGGCGAGTTTTTCCAATTGAGATCAAAAACTATTTATAGAACAATAAACGCATTGGAAAAACCTCTTTGTGTAGCAACTCCATTATGCCACTATTCCAACCCACTAAGAAGATCATGTTCCTCAACTCAAGGGACATGAACTCCTCAATAAGTCTGACCATGATACGAAGAAGATCATGGGGAGTAGGCCGCAAGTTTAGGAAAACTTAAACTCAGATTTTATTTAATGAAAAGATATTTCAAAAATCAAAATAAAAATAAAATCCTTTTTAGTTAAGAAAAGGTAAACATTAAAACCAACTACTTTCCTAAAAACATGCTTGCACTATTTTATCTTCTAAGACCAATTCCACACAGTTATTTTGTATGTAACTTAATTCTTATACTTACATAAATCCTAAAATATAAATATATATTTAGTCTTCATGTTCTCTGATGAAGCTTCTACTCGGAGGCTTCCAATTCTATTCCTCAAGGGGAACTTCTCTTTTCTGGTGAAGCATCTACTCTGAAGCTGAGGGGAATCTTCTTTTCTCAACACTTCATTTCTGAAGCACCAGTTCCTGCAAAGGAACTCTTCTTTTTGGATAGCTTTGCTTCAGGCTTTCCTGTTTCTCATGGTATCTTCACAAGACACTAGGGGTGTTAAAAAATATCTGGTCCGAAATATCCGATCCGAAAATCCGATGATCCAATCCGAAATTTCGGATATCCGATGCGGTTTTTAAGGTTTCGGATATTTCGGATCGGATATCCGAAAAAATTTCGGATTTTCGGATCGGATACGGATCGGATTTTGTTTAAAAATTTTAACTACCCGATCCGAAAACCCGACTATTCGATCCGAATATCCGACTATCCAATCCGAAAATCCGGATATCCGAAAATTTTGGATCGGATTCGGATCGCAATTTCTCCGATCCGAATTTTTGGATCGGATATCCGAAATTGAACAGCCCTACAAGACACTTAGTTTTCCCAGTCATTGCAATTGATCACACACTCAAACAATCAAGCTCTTATTAGTTTGTAAGTAGGTGAGGTTGTGTCATCATCAAAATCATTAAGTCCAACATGACCTTTAAGGATTAATTTTGCCGTATAAATTAGAAAAACAGGACCACAAGTGTCCTACACTAATGTTTTATTTAATGAGATGTTATGGTAAAGAATTAGTCCAAATTATGGTAAAATATTAAAAATAAATTGGATATCAAATTGAAAAACCTAAAAGTACAATGATACCAAATGAAAAATCTCATACTACTTTATATATATATATATATATATATATATATATATATATATATATATATATATATATATATATATATATATATACACACACGTTTTGAGCTACTTCTATCGCTCCAAAAAAAATATGATATTATAAACAAATTTATATAATAATTTTTTAGAATTATAATCTAAAATATTTTTTGAATAAAATTATTATTCAATTTTACAAAAAATCTTGTGTGGACCTAAGGTTTATACACACGTAACTAACATTATATTCAACATAGTGACCCCTAATTTTAATATAGTAACCTTTTTTAAAACTCGTGTGACTTTTAATGTTATTACAGTATGAATTTAAAGTACTACATTATGTTGAATAGTGACCTAATTTTAACATAGTGATCATTATTGTTCATACTACCTCTGTTACAGGTTATGTGCAACGGTTAGACATTTTTCCTCTCTGTTTTATGTCAAATCATTGCACATAACCTGTAACGGAGGTAGTATTATATTGACCATTATATTAAAAATTTCATTAAAAAAATTAACCTCTTATAGCTTTTATAATGTCACATTAACTTTATTTCAACATAATAACCTTTCTTTTAGTATAGTAACTTTTTTTTTTATTTAATAAAACAATCATATTGTCTCTAATGTTGGTGGTTCGTAATAAATTAGTATGAACCAGGTCCATTTAAGAATTTGTATAAATTTTACATCTAAAATATTGGTATTTTATCGAAAATAAAACTCTAAATAAACAAATTTATCCTAAAATTCTATCCAAATTTGATCGAAAATAGAATTCTAAACTATTTTTTTTATCCCATGAAGTCTATCTAAATCTATCCAAATTTGATCGAAAATAGAATTCTAAACAAATTGATCAAGTGTCACTGTCTCGTGGTCTGCCTAAAAGTTATATAAGAACCAATCTCATCCGTAGGATTATATCTATATTATAATTACAGAGTCGTTTGATGAGAGTGCTCCAAAACCCAAATGCTCAACTCTCATGCATTTTTTTTAAGAAAAAAATAACTATCCATCCCACTACTTTATTTTTTATTTTTTTTTATCATTTTTTTTTAAAAAATCAATAACTACCCATTCACTATTTCCTTTTGGTTTTTCTTTTTGTTTTTTTTTCAAGGGACTACGGGCATGTTCTCTTACGTTTCAGTTTAGTTCAGCTCAGTTTATTTCAGTTCAGCTCCTAATTTCCTTATCTTATAAAATATTCATTTCAGTTCAGTTCAGTTCAGTTTAGTTCAGTTCAGTTCAACTCAGTTCAGTTCAGTTTAGTTCAGCTCAATTCAGTTCAGTTCAGTTCAGCTGAGTTCAGTCAATGAGAACAGGCCCTACTACTAACATTTCACTTTGGTACAATAGTATATATATATGTCATACATTAGCACGAGTATACAATTCTTTTATCAACAATTCACTATAGTACTTAAATCCCCAACCCTTCAATTATACTTCCTCTGTTCTTTTTTACTTAACCTGTTTCTTTTATCACGCTTGCCAATGCAAAACTTTAATGGTTAATAACTTTAATTCTCCATAATTAAAAAATATAAAAGTTATATATTATGATACTACTTATTGAGACGAATTCAAAATGATCCAATATATATATGTTTTTCCTTGCATATTATTCACAAAACACGGTCAAATGAGGGGTGGTGAATAGTGTAAAAGTCAAAGTGGGTCAAGTAAAAAAGAACGGAGGAAGTATGCATTTTTGTAGGGACTACCCTCCAAACATTTTCCACTTCTTTAATCATCTAAAACAAAAAAAATGTACAACACGTTTTTGTGCAACTAATCTCATCGAATAACTACTTACAACAGAACAAAGAATGTAACTCCTAGAGCAAGACACTAACCCATATGACACTAACCGAATAACATGAGTAACCCCTATAACACTGAACGGGTAACCTCTATAACTTTGAAAAAGTAAACCCCATAATAGCATTGCGTGGCCACCGACATAAAAGAGTAGGATCCTTTTTTTGAGATTCTAAGCAAAACATAGAATATCATATTTCAGCATAGCACAGCAGGTGTCAGCACATTATTAATACGATTATTAATACTCAGTACAACATAGCTGAGTTCAACAAAACCGGTCAGTCCAAAATCGACCATTACAGTTCAAGTCTAAATAACAATATCAAAATTAATTTTTCTTATTTTAAATATATTTTTTTTCTTATATATCCTGTGTCCTGCATTTTGCACGGGTACACCCTAGTTGAATTAAATGGTCAAGATTTTAAAAGAAATCAAGTACTCGTATTAAGATAATATTGTACTTCATAAAATCATATAAACCATAATTTTCTCTCTCCTCTCACAAAAAGAAAAAGCTGTCATGATTTTCTCTCTCATCATTTCATATCTCCTCAAACTTCCAAATTCCTCCATTATTAGAGCAATTTGAAAGAAATTTTCAGCGATTCTAATCAATTATCTTGCAATTCGGTAAAAGGTATGCTTGCTCAAGCGATTTTTTGAGCTATTATGTAATTTTTTTTTTCCGTAATTTTTGTTACGAAATCACATCAATTATGTTTGATTGTTCGAAATTGCATCAACAGTTTAATTCCAGCTACTTTAGGGCTCGAATTTTCAACTGCAATGTTATTTGATTTTTTCCCCAATTTCAATATTTTTGTACTGCAATGTTATTTGATTTTGTACTGCCATTTTGTTCGACTTTTAACTGTTGTGAGGGATTTTCAATATTTTCATTCTTATCAAGTTTACCTTTGAAACATATAAAGGAACTTTTGGTTTCGATAGTTCATTATTAGAGTTCATATTAGATTGCAAATATTGAAGAATTTATTGTTAGCTATGCAGATTTAATTAGTCACTTTTGATGTGAAAATAAGAGTATTATGGTAAGAAATAAAGTTAACACTTTTGTATTAGATAAATTTGCATCATAGTTTATAAAATGGATGAACAGAAAATTCAACTATATTTTCCTTCATTTGACTGATGTAATCACGTACTACCTAGTAGTTGTGTTGGGTAATTTCACTAATTTTTGAGCATGTGTGGGTAATATGTGAGTTATGTGTTGTAGTAGTAATGGGGGCATTTGCGTTTCTTGTTTTCCCCCCTTCTATAGTTTTATGGGAGGGATGGTGATCAATATCAAACGGCTAAAACCTATTAGCTCAAGTGGTAGAGCACTATACAAATGCATAGAGGAGGTAGGTTCGACTCCTACACAGGTTACATTTATAAATAATTAAAAAAAAACTTCAAAAATAAACCTAATAATTATTTTTCCTTATAGCCTAATTTAGAGCATAATGTAATAATTTAGATTATAGGAAATAATTTAGAACATATGGAAAAAAAAAGAACATAGGCTCTGAATATAGATTTAGAAATTAGAATATAGGAAAAATTTATAACATACACAAAAAAAAAATTTAGAATATAGAAAAAAAAATTAGAACACAACATTAAAGTTTAGAACATAGAAAAAAAAAAATTTAGAACATAGAAAAAAGGTAAAAAAAATTAAAACATTGATAAAAAATATTTAGAAAACATAGGATTAAAATATTATAACATAGGTAGAAAAAAATTTAGAACATAAGAAAAAAAAATAGAATATAGGAAATGTTATATAACATAGAAAAAAAAAATTTAGAACATAGGAAAGATAGTTTAGAACATGAGAGAAATTTTTTAAAAATTTAGAATATAGGTTGAAAATTTTAGAACATAAACTCTATATTTTATGTTCTAAATTATATACTTTATGTTCTAAACCTAATACCTTATACTAAACTACATATCTTATGTATATTTTTTTTTTTTGCATATATACTAGAACATAGATACTGTATAAGATCAGAACACCTTATGTTCTAAACTTTTTCTTATGTTTTAAACTTTTTGTGCTTATGTTCTAAAGTTTTTCCTATTTTCAAAATTTTTTCTGCTTATGTTCTAAATTATTTCTTATGCTCTAATTTTTTTTTTAATTTTCAGCTTATGTTCTAAATTTAATTTTAAGCTTATGTTTTAAATTTTTTTTCCTATGTTCTAACTTATTCTTATGTTCTAAATATTTTATATGTTCTAAGTTTTTTCCAGTGTTTTAAAAAGCCTATGTTCTAAATTTAATTTTTTTTCTTATATTCTAAATTTTATCCTTTGTTCTAAAGCCTATGTTTTATATTTTTATTTGGAAAATTTGCCAAAAATAACACCACTTTTTGGCGGTCTTCCAATAATAGCACCACCTTTCGATTATTCCAAAATAACACCACCATTCTCATATATTTGCCAAAATGAAACAAAACCGGTTAATAATTGTAAAACAGGTTACTAGTGACACGTGTCACAATGTCATTTGACAATTTTTTTTAAAATTTTTTTTTTTAAAAAAACCTAAGTAATTAAAAAACAAAGTTAAAATAAAAAAAAACTAAAAAATCCGCCACCTAGCCCACCTGCCACCCTCTCCTTGCCCACTCCTTGCCCAGCCCCCACCCCCTACCCACCCTCGTCACCGCCCCTCCCCCTCCCTACCCTCGACGCCGATCGACCTCCCCATCCTTCCCCCTCCCCTGAACGACACCCCTCCACCCATTCCCCCGCCCTTAAACAACCCACAGCTCAATGACATTAAAACCAAACCCGACCCTACACTACTAGAAAAAGGCCTGTTTCTCACGGAATTATGCTGACGGACTTGATTTTTGTCACAAAATTTAAATTCAACGACGGAAGTAAGTGTGTCGTAAAAATCGGTTGGAAATATTAATTTGCTACGGAAATTCCCTCGCAGAATTACCGACGGAATATATTTCAGTCTGAAAATGTAGTTTCCGACGGAATATTCCGTTGCAAATAATTTTACAATGGAAAATTCCGTCGGAACTACATTTTCTGACCGAAATATTTTCCGTCGGAAAATTTCGGAAAAAAAAGCACCCAACCCTTGTTTTTCACGACAGAAACAGAAAAAGGGGGAAAAGAGAGAAAGAAAGCAAGGGAGAAAGAGAGAGAAAGAGGAAGAGAAGTTCCCGCCGCCACTGGAGCCCAGCATCGCCAGCCGCCACCGCATCCCACCGTCGCCAGCCCTCCCGTAGTTCTCCCTGCCGGTAAGTTTTGTTTTGTTTTTCTTTTTTTTTTTTTAAAAAAAAAAAATTTAAAAACGCCACCACTAACCACCGGTCGGTGTGAACAGCCACCACCGGCTTGTAGTAGCCGCCTGTCACACGTGTTTCCCGTCGGCGGCATTCCAAAATGACGGCAGCCGCCGATGAGTTTTTTTTTTTTAAAATATCTGTTTTAATTTTTATTGTTTGTTTAAACCTTAACCACCACCACCCCTTTTTTTCAGGGTCCTCCACACTCCTTCCTTGCTTCGATCAGAACCACCACCACCTTCATCCTCCCGGCGTTCTGCCGCCGGTAAGTGTTTATTTTATTTCTTTTTTTTTTTTTTCATTTTTTTAAAATAAAAATTGACATTTTACACCCTAAATAAGGTTTAATTGTTATTATTTGTAGGACCTGTATCTTTTCCTTGCTTTGAATCTCAATAAAAAGTGCAGATCTAGAGGTTAGTGACATTATAATTTCTAAAATTCTTAGTTTAGTTTATACTTGGCACGTTAGTGACTTAGATATATGTTAGTTTATTCAAGTATTTATTTTATGTTAGTTTAGTCTGCTTTACTTTATTATAATAAATAATAATGGTTGATATGTTAGTTTAGTTTGGTTTGGTTTTTAATAATAATGTAAGACATGACATGTTAATTTTGTTTGGTTTAGTATAATAATGTATGACATGATATGTTAGTTTAGGTTGATATTTTATTATAATATTGTACGGCATGATATGTTAGTTTACATTTGTTTAGTTTATTATAATAATGTATGTTAGTTTAGTTTAATTTAGGAAAAATTAGAAAATAACACCAAAAAATTGTCACAATTTTGATTATAACACCACAAATTTTAAAACTTTAATTATAACACCACAAAAAACCCAAAATTTTGATTTCACCACCACTTAACTTTTTCATCCAAAAAATCGTTAGTGGGTCCCACATTGTACACGTGTCAATTATTTATTGGATTTTGAAAAAATTTTTTAATTTTTTTTTAAAAAGGAAAACCTCTAAAATTACCCAGCCACCATCGGTGGTGCCGATTTCCACCGTCGCTACCCTAACCCAGCCCCCATCGCCATCACCCAATCCTAACCGACTACCCTCAACCCACAAAACCAGCCAGCCAGCCACCCTAGACTGTTGATTTGTCGAAATCAGCCAAACCATACCCACGAAACCAGCCCCGATTTGGTTTTAGGTGAGGGTGATAGGAGTAGGGCGGTTTGTGGGTTTAGGTACGCGTGTGCTGGTGTGGCCTGGTTCGGCAACGACTTTGGTTAGGGAGGAGCTCGGCGACGGCGGTTGGCTGGTTTGGGTGGCTCGACGATGTACCTCGGGGAGACAACAATAGGGGCTGGCTGGTTTGGTTGGGCCTGGGTGATTCGGCGACGGTTTCAGGTCGGGGAGATGGCGATGGGCTGGGTTGGGTTGACGACCGTGGTAGGGTAGGGTTGACGGCGACCGTGGAGTGGTGGGGGTGGTGGCTGGGTTAGGGTTATAGGGTTTTAATTTTTTTTTTTAAGCCAATAGTTGATTGACACGTGTCCTGTGTGGGACCCACTTAACGGTTTTCTTGGATGACAAAGTTAAGTGGTGGTGAAACCAATTTTTTGGTTTTTTTTTTTTTGTGGTGTTATAAACAAAGTTTATTTTTATGTGGTGTTATAATCAAAATTGTGACAATTTTGGGTGTTATTTTCTAATTTTTCCCTAATTTATTATAATTTAATAATGTATGTTAGTTTTGTTTAGTTTAATATAATGTATGTTAGTTTTGTTTAGTTTAATATAATGTATGTTAGTTAATTTAGTAAAAAATATTTGTTTTATATAATGTTTAATGTAATGATTAATAATTGTTTATATCAATTTAATTCTGAATACTAATTGTTTATATATGATAGTTTATATAGGTTTACTTATAATGATTATTATAATTTAATTATGAGTGTTCTTTACTTTATAATGGTTGTGTTATTTAATTTGCTTGACATATATTTAAATGAGCGTGTTATAATTACTTTATATATATTTGAATGAATCATTTGCATAATCATTTGCCTAGATACCACTTCAAGGCATACTCATTAGGAGAATGTATTGAATAGTCCCCGGTTGGGACTGTCCTTGGACGTTTATTCTCACTTAGGTGGTGAATGTATGCCTTGTTATTGATTCTAGGGAATATCCTGGCTTGTCATTTCTTTACAATGTTCTCTGGGTACATATGACGGGTTATCTAATAGCCTACATCGTGTACTTGGAGAACTTAAGGGAAATGCTGCCAGATTTTTCATAGAATTGAAAACCAGGCATACATTCGCTAGTGAGATTAAATGTCCAAGGATGGGTTAGGTTGGAGTGATAAGGACCTTTGGACATCATTTACAATCTTATTTGCATATTTATAACATTTTGATGGATAATGAATATTCAATACACGTTGTGACTAATGTGATTATACATATTCGTGAGTTGTGTAGAAGTTGTAATCATGAAACGAACAGAACGTAGCTAGATGTATGAAAGGAAGGTTGGTCTGGAATTTGTGAAAGGGGTAGATGAATTCCTTAAATACGTGGAAGATCATCCCGAGAGCAGCAACCCGAATGAAGTTAGGTCTCCATGTTTTAAATGTAAGAACAAACGGCTTTGGGATGCGGAAATGGTTAAGATTCATTTGTATCGCAAGAGTTTTGTACCTAATTACTATGAGTGGATGTGTCATGGGGAAGGGTTTTCGGAAGTTCCTGAAGGACCGTCAAATGAATATCGTGAAATGGTTTTCGATGCTTTTGGTCATAATGAAGATCAAGGGCATTTAGAGGAGGAGCCTAATGCACAAGTTAAGCATTTCCTGGATTTGTTAAAGGCTTCCGAACAACCATTATACGAAAGGAGTTCATTGTCTGTGTTAAAGATGGTTGCCCGAATTACTAGTCTTAAGTGCGAGTATAATTTTCCCCATAGATATGTTGATGGGTTTGCTTCTTTGGTCAATGAGACGATTCCTAACAACAACCATATGACCGACACATTCTATGAGGTGAAGAAGATTGTGAAGGGGTTGGAGTTGCCTCATGAAAAGATTCATGCATGCCCGAAAGGATGTATGTTGTTTTGGAAGGATGATGTTCAGCTATCTACATGTAGGGTGTGTAGTAGCGACCGATACAAGAAGAGTTCTAAAGGTAGCTTAGTGCCTTAGAATGTATTAATTTATTTTCCGATCACACCGAGATTGCAAAGGCTCTATGAATCCAAGAACATATCGGAGGAAATGACGTGGCATTCGAAAAATCCTCGAGTTCAAGGCACAATGGCGCACCCTAGTGATAGTGAAGCATGGAAACACCTCGACAATTGCTTTCCAGAATTTTCTAATGAGCCTCGTAATGTTCGACTTGGCTTGTGTACAGATGGTTTTGCTCCTCATGGTAAGTTTGGGGGACAATATACTTGTTGGCGTGTCATTTTAACCTCTTATAACTTGCCTCCCTTAATGTGTATGAAAAGACAATTCATGTTTCTTTCGTTGCTCGTTCCTGGTCCTAAGAACCCTAAGTGTAACTTGGATGTGTATATGCACCCATTGGTAGAAGAGTTGAAACAATTATGGGAAGTTGGCATAAATATTCATGACTTTTCGAGGAAACAAAATTTTAATCTTCGAGCAGCCATCCTTTGGACCGTTAGTGACTTCCCTGCTTACGGTATGTTGTCTGGTTGGACTACAGCGGGTAATAAAAAGGCTTTGTATGGATAAAAGCATATTATTGGCCATTTTGGCTTTAAATGGCTTTATTTTTATGATTTGACCCTATAAACCTACAAATTAGCTTCTTTTTTGTCATTTCAATTCATAATCACCTATAACTATGTAATTATGAAATGACTTGAGAAAGAATTAGTTCATAAGTTAAGAAATGAAGAAATAGGCATGTTAGAAGTCATTTTGGCTTGAAATGGCTTCATTTTGATGAAATGAACCCAAAAACTTAGGGCTTGTTTGACATCATTTTTGGTTTTCAGTTTTCTGTTTTTTTGAAAACCAAACACCAAAAAAGGAAACAAGAAAAAAATGTTTCCACTTTTCTGTTGTCAGTTTTCAGAATTATCATGATTTTAATAAGTCTATATATTTTTTGATTCATTATGTGACATATATAATACACTTTTAAAAAACAAAAAACCAAAAAATAGAAAACCACAACGATGCCAAACGAACCCTTAGAAATTAGCTTCTTTTATGTCATTTCAAGTCATAATCACTTATAAATATGTAATTATGAAATGATATGAGAAAGAATGAGTTCATAAGTTAAGAAATGAAGAAAATAGGTACGTTAGAAGCCATTTTTGCTTGAAATGGCTTTATTTTGATGAAATGATCCCAAAAACTTAGAAAATGACTTCTTTTATGTCATTTCAAGTCATAATCACTTATAACGATGTAATTATGAAATGGTTTGAGAAAGAATGAGTTCATAAATTAAGAAATGAAGAAAATAGGCATGTTAGAAGCCATTTTTGCTTGAAATGGCTTTATTTTGATGAAATGAATCCAAAAACTTAAAAAAATGACTTCTTTTATGTGATTTCAAGTCATAATCACTTATAACTTGTAATTATGAAATGGTTTGAGAAAGAATGAGTTCATAAGTAAAAAAATGAAGAAAATGGGTACGTTAGAAGCCATTTTTGTTTGAAATGGCTTTATTTTGATGAAATGAACCCAAAAACTTTGAAAATGACTTCTTTTATGTCATTTCAAGTCATAATCACTTATATGTTTATTTTCTTTACTTGTAACTTATGTTTTTAGTAAATTGTTTAAACTATACATTATTGTATAATATATTTCTTGTAGTAGACCTACCAGTAGAAGAAGATTGAAGAAGCTACCACTCAAGGGATTAAAAAGAGTCCTGATGAGTTGTATTGGGAGACTGTAGGTGGTCGCAACAAGAAGGGTCGGGTGAGGGGACTTGGCCAAAGTGCAGAGCTGTACTATGGCAACCGGATGGGTCGAGTTTCTAGGTCTTCACAGCAGTACACACCATTCGTTGTTTTTTCAGGAGCAGGATCAGATGGAGCATAGGGTGGAGGCTCTTCGTAGTGAAATCCGGAGTGAACTCCAAAGTGAAATTCGGAGTGAACTTCGGAGTGAAATGGAAGTCGAGATGCAAACCCGAATTCAAGCTGAAGTGGCCAAAATGGAAAGGAGAGCCAAGGAGAGGTGGAATGAGTTCATGAGTCGATTCGGCAACAACGACACATGTTCCACCTTTCAGCCTCAACGTCGAGACCCAGGGACAGGTAGTGGAGGAGCAAGCCAAGGTACCCCGACAATTGTTTAGCATAGCTTTGGTTTATGCAGTATGGACATGTACTTAATTGTCGCGACCACCTACAGTCTCCCAATACAACTCATTAGGACTCT